TTTTGTAAACGTTTTCCGTACACAATTGCAGCCTGAAGATTATTTATATTTCAGTTGAAACAATACTTAGATGTCCGTTCAGTTGCTCATCTTTACTGGACTCTCGCATTGTGGCGACTGAGCCAACTGCAAAGCCACCACGAAGTATCCGACAATGGTGCCCCAAAAGCCCACGAGAAAGCGAAGGTTCATCGTGAAGAGGCCTCCGGCAGTGAACTTCACCGGGTGCGCTCGGAGCTGCAGCACCAACATCTGCGCCTGGCGTTCCGCCTGCTTATAGTCGCACGTCTCCACCAGGAGCGCTGCTGCCGCCTTGAAGGTCCCGTCCTCAGCGACTGCGGTGACAGCCCCGCTACTTGCAGCCACCCACACGCCCAGAACAGCGAACAAAATGACAGAGGATACAGCGTGAATGATGCCGAAAGTCGATGGTTGCCAGGATAATTTCCTTGAGGACATTCCTGCCCAGAACATATTCCACACAATATTTATAAACAAGTATGTGAAGAAAAGAAGAAAGAAAATGCTAAAGAGCTTTTCTACAATTTGGCATGTTTGTGCGGACAGAAAGTGAATTCTTCGTAAACACTTTATCTGTTGTGCCAGCGACTCGTCCTCTTCATATTCTACTATGCAGGGCCTTTTGATAGGCACGTACGGATTTTGTTGCCTTTCTTTTAAAACTTGCATTCCAAATAATTCTTTGCAACGCTCATTTCTTAAACGATTCTTTAAAACCAGGATTTTATGGTTTACACGTTTGAATCTATTTTTCAGCAACCAACAGATAGCACAAAATGAATGACACGCACAACATACTACCATATGTGACCGCCAATCGAAAATAGAATATAAAAGTAAGTAAACTGAAGGGAAAGAGTCCATACACAACAGTATCTTTGAACAAGTTTGGTAGATAATACAAAAAAATGATTATGACTGCATTCCATGACATTTTATTATAAATTCTACTATCATAATTCACATAATTCTGATCCACGAAAGCAAGGTATTTCAGAATTTTGTTGACAGTTGGCATAAGAAACTTTATTCCATAGAGCAATGCCCAAGTTTGAAGGGCAAAAGCAACTAAATTAGCAATCACTCCAAATGATAATTCAAAAGCACTATTTGTCAATGTAACAACACCAACTCTACATAACAAAAAAATAAAACCCACTGCATAAAGTACCAGAAGACATATATGTAATAACGAATACACGAGAGCGTATTTGCTGGGAGCAAGATGTAAGCCGTTCATTGTATTCTTTACGGAGTAAGGAGCTAGGCCAAGGAACTGTGCTAGCCTGAGAATTGGCAAAAGTTCGTTGAACTCTTGTAGAATAAATCCTTCCATTTTTGATGAACAATTTTCCTCCGTCTGGTGAGTTTCTTTGGAAGGATAAGACAGTCACGATTGTCGATGACTGTTGAGATTCTTAACACTTTCAGTTCGTTTTTATTGTATTTTTTATAAAGAAATAGGTAGTTCTCTTGAAGTAATGTCCTATGCTATAAGGTACGACACGTTCGTATGACACGAGTTCAATTCGTTCGTAAAATGAAAATGGCATTCAGTTAATAATTTCAAGTGGTTTCATTGTTTTCATAAGAAAACGGCACTTCTTGGGAATCAAACCAGCAATAACATTAATGGTTATACGTAAGTGAAAATGAAATTCTGAAGTATCCTAGAGGTAAATTCAATAATGCATAATGACTTCATTGAGAGTTGGTTCATACAAAAATTTACAGATTTTAATTTAGTTAATGACTTTAATCAAATGTTAACAACTTCAATCAAATCAGAATATTCTCTGCAATTTTCCAAATCAAATGTTAAAACCTGGTCATTGCTAAACTAAGTAACAACATATTATATTCACTTTACTTAAATTAAAGTCGGGGATTATACTTATTAATTAACACCTATATATTTAGAAGAACAATTAACCAAATTGATAGATACCAAAATGAAGACAATTATTATAAATTGGTTGAAAATGTGATTTAGTCTCATTAAAATATCTAATATTCTTTTTCTTCAATGTTGTATAAAGTATTTAATGATATTTGTGATTGTTTTTGATAATTTGTACTTAGGTTTTCACACAATCTTCGTATACTTGTGTCGTCATTTAAATTTTCTCAAGATTCTTGCCCTTTAACTATTCTTCATTCCACTATTTCGTCCGTGTTAATTCCTATTACTCACCACATCAGCTGATATTTCAACAGAAACATCATACCGAAAAGCGAACGACGTCTGTTTTGAAAATCCGTCATTCAAACGACGGTCATTGAGTGTCTTCCAACGACAAATACATAAAAACGTTACTATATTTAAATAATACTGTGACAATTTTAATAATGTCTATTGCTACTGAAATAATATTGATTTTATTTAGTAATTATGAATTGTAAAACTGTAGCTATTTTTGCCTAAAATAAAAAAAAAGCAAATATTAAGAGCTTATAGCGACTTGTTTTCGTGGCTGAAAATTCGAGATTCCAACACACTCGTGCAGTTAAGTTTAGAGCAAGTTTGTCGATCATCAGCGGAAAGTCCCGGCACAAACTGAATCGCCACCATGAGGTAGCACACTATACTTCCCGCTAGCCCCATGTAGAACTTCAGATCCAAGGACACCAATCCTCCCACGCTGAGGCGTATACGGTTCGCGCGAAGCTGCAACAGGAACAGTCGCGCCTCGCGCTGCACTGGCTTGTTTCCACCCGCGGCCAACAGTAGCGTTGTCGTCGTTCGTGCAGCCTCTTCATGTGCAGCTGCAGCAGTCGCGCCGGCAGATGCCGCTGGCACCAAGCCAACCACTACGTGGTAGATTGCGCACGCCGACAAATGAAGCACCGACGACCACGTGATTTCAGACACCCTCGCCCGTCCAACGACTATCATGTATAAGCAGATCATCACTATAGGGCCGGAGTTGGCGTAGAATAAGAGCATGCACTTGCTGAATATACGGTCAATGGTGGCGCAGGTTTTAACAGCCATAAAATGTGCTTTTCGAAGATTCTCGACGCGGGTTTCAAGATATAGATGTCTAATTCTTGACTTTTGTTGCGGTCTGTTGAGCGTTTCAACTGGAAAAATCTTGTTTGTTTCTCCCACTAGGAAGGGAAGTTCTACAAACGAATGTATATTAAAGTTATTTTCGTTTTGTACATCTTCAGCTGTCGTCAGAATTATCTCATTCATTTCGTCAATGTAATGCTTCACGATTAAAGTCAAAGCACTAAACAAATGACAAATAATATATGAATAAAAGTTAGTCCAAAAGTAATAAATAATATTAAATATAGGTATGCTATGAACCATATAAGCTGAAATCTGCATAACAGTGACACCCGAAAACCCTAACAACAAAATTCCAAAATTCCAAAACCTAAAATGCAAACGATGGCTGTAAATTGTTACCTCTAACATATTCTGGAGACACTTAGTTAGACGTAATAATTTTGTACAACAACTGACGTTCACCGTTGCGCCAATGACGGTTGTGTACAGAGGGAAAATTATGGCCATCAAGGATACCATTGTCATCAACAAGGGCATCCAACGGCCTTCCATTACGGCGATAGAAAAATTGTCTAGTTCGTTGAAACATAGCATTATTCCATTAGTGGTGTGGATTACTACGAACAAACACACAAATAACATCGCAATCTTGTTTCTAACCACTTGGAGACCTCGATCGAGGCTATACGGAACTAACCCCATAGCTCGTGCTACGAAAAGCATGGGGCCCAAACCGTGTAAAGTCTTTGGAAGAGATTCTACTGCCATCGTGTGAAAGTAATGATCACTCACGTAGTCTATCTAACGCGTTGTGCCGCCAATTATCTCCACATATGTTATTAGAACAAAGTTATTTAACCAATTAAATAACTTTGCAATAATGTGTACATCCGTTTTCTTAACACAAGAATGACACTTTTTGCAAAAATGGCACGAATATATTTTATATGAATGTTTTCCTATGTCAAAAGTCAAACAGAAAGTACTGTAAAGGTCTATATACAGTATGGTTTCTCTTTAAAAGACCATCAACATGATGCCCCAGTCATCACTACCATGTCAATCACAAAAATATTTGCCAATTTAATATCAATAATCACTTTGTATCATTGTTTCTCTTATTAACATTCCGTAAATTCACATTTTTGTCTGTAATGAAAATGCAGATTAATTTTAGTGTTTCGTGATCCAACTAAAGTTCTTCACAATTGCCGAATCCACATCATTAACAGGCAACCAAACTGATCTTCGCTTATGTAATTCTAGTTTGAAAGCTTGAACATTGCCGTTGATGTTCTGAACATTCTCAGAGGTGTGGACGCAATATAATTATTTTGTATAGTCTTCTGAAAGGAAGACAATCAGCATAATTACGTGTTTACTCCTATTATGAGCATCGATAGAATTAGATCTAAAGATAGAATTACTAACACATGATAATATCTCAAATAAAATTATTCTAAATGTTATTACAAACTTTGAGAGAAATGATAAATTGAAATAAGAGAAATATTGTCAGAATGTCAAATTATAAACTCAAAAACACAAAGATATTAGAGTTGAACATTAACGTAATGGTTTTCTTAATTTCGTGTTTCAATCAATTTCTTTAATGGTGAAAGGGTGGAATTTGTAAGAAATAAATTAAATGAACAGTGTAAGATACACAGAAATGCGTGACAAAATTAAGATGACTTAATGAGAAACTTTAATTAAATTAATTAATTAAATGTAAATGAAAAAACATAGAAACGTACGTTAGCAAAAGGGACAAATTGTATGAAAATTATTTTAATTTAGTGATAAATGAGATAATTACATATATTTTGAAGGGGGAAAATTATGTATTATGCCTTACAAAAATACAAACTCTTCGAAAAATACTGAAACGATGAAAACAACAAAGCAAGAAAACAACAACAAATATCTAAATGACACATAATTACGAAATTGTACTCACAGTGTGTTCAGTTTCTTCAAGTCCTTGAAAGAGTTGGGTGAGATGTCTCGGATCTTGTTGAACCTCAGGTCACTGAAACAAACATTTATTATTATATACCTTAAAAAGACAGCAAATGAAGAAACACATTAACAGTGGGCTCCAATACGAAATAGGCAAATTTCGGATAGGCACATTCAAGCAAAAAATAGAGATACGATTTGCAACAACTTTTGCAGAAAATTTTGAAAATATCGCAGGGTCTTCCTGTATAGTACTCGAACACCTCAATGATTCCCAGAGCAGTACGAGTAGATTTTACTCTTCACGTGGATACACCGTTTTCGCTCAAAACCTTCTAATCTAACCCAGCTATCCGTGATACATTAGCGTCTATCCATCCGACAACCTACGCAGACTTTCCTATTTTCGAGAACACAATCGCCTCGTAGCCACCACAACCAATCTTAACCATCTTCGAAACAACATTAATAGAGCTCAATATGGAGCAGTGTGCGATTTTACAGCTTTAAAGAACATTCAACATTGTCTTTACGATCAGAAATTCAAGGTAGTGTTGAGCTGCTTCCAAATAATTTCCTTTCTATACTATAATATTGAAAAGAAAACTACAACATTCAGTATCGGACATATTCAAATGTACTTCTTTGATGAAGGTATAAAGACCCATAGAAAACTCTATGACTTGTATGAATTGTTGTTATTATTATTATTATTATTATTATTATTATTATTATTATTATTAATATTGTATTTCGATTGTTGTTATTAATGCTATTATTATTGTCGATACTAATTCAATTACATGGCATTTGGGGTATTCCCAAACCCATCCTCCCTCACCGAAGGCCGTGAATCCCCCCGCCACGACCTTCCTGAGCGGCAGCCTTGAGGCCCGGCGCGTGGGCGTAGCTGCGTCTACGGGAGGCAGGCGGCCACCCCAGCTCCCCCCGGCGCCAAGCATCACTCACCGGCCCTCACCGCCCGATGCATAAACATGAGGCGCGCGTCGCCCTGCCCCGGCCGGCCGACGCGCTATTGGCAGCTCCCGCCCGCGCCGCCCGGGCCCCCGCCCGCGTGCCGATAAAACAGCCATCGCTCACCCGGGGGCGGCCGCTGTCAGGGGAAGCGACGTCGGTGACGAGATGCGGGGCGGGTCGGAGGGTGAGGAGGGGACGGGACGACGGAGGGGCAATGGAGCCGTGGCGGGGACGGAGTCGAGGTCGTCAGCATTGGATGTGCAGCGAATGGACGGGAACGGATCGACCGGTGAGGTAGATTTGGGAGAAGGCATGTGGGGGAACGGAACCAAGGATGAGACAATAGGAAGTGGAGAAGCAGGGAATGGGCAAGGAGGGAAGAGCAGCGTGGTGCTAAGGAAGGAGTGTGCAAGGGACGTGAACCCAGATTGAGATAGTCAGTGCTGTAGGTGCAGCGGTTGGGTGAGGACGGGAGGAAAGGTGAGGTGCTTGCGAAGGCATGTGGCGAGGACGGGAACGAGGATGAAATCCTGTGGCGTGGAGTTGTAGGATACGGACGAGGACGGTGAGGTGCTGGCGAAGGCTTCATGAGGATGAGGTCGAGGACGAGAGAGGGATGGAGCGTAGACAAAGCACAACAAGGATTGGTAATGTTGCGGGGCGGGTTTGGGACGGGAACCGGACGAGGGTGTGGAGTGGGCAAAGTCGAAGCGATACGGGAGCGAGAGGGGTGGAGCTGCATGGGATGGGAGGTCAGAAAGACGACGGCGTAGACGTAACGGCGTCATGGAGGTAAGGTTGAGAACGAGAGACGGATGAGGCTAAGGTAGAGCAGGTAGAGGAATGACCTTTACCCAGGGGTGGGTTGAGGCGGGGGGATGGGACGACATTCGAGAGATGGTGAAGGGTGGCAGCGACGGTGTCGTGGGCACGAGGGTTGGGGTTGCAGGGGGCGAGGACGAGAGAGCGCTGGGATTGTAGTGAAAGCGTGAGGTGGGGGAGGCAAAGCGGAAAGGGAGATGGACGATGGTCCGGTGGAAGGTTTGTGGGGGGGAGGAGGCAACGAGGGCAATGGTGAAGATGACGTGGGGGTACATTCGATCTCGAACTGGAACGGGTGACAGGGGTGGAGGCGGAGGGAGGCACCCAAATGGCGAAGGAGATCAGGACAATTGGATACTAGGAGAGGCTGAAAGCGCGAGGACCTGAATGTCTCGCTCAGAACACAACATCAATTGGGAAAACGTATACTTCAGCGTTGTGGATCGATCTATTTCAACTGTGAATCCAGTTGGTGTCAGACTTATGACAGTTGCTCCGTAGTTGGACAAAACGTGATTATTGTTTTTCCATACATCCCAAATTGTAAACCTTTGAACTGACGATTAACAAATTTTCATACCCCCATGCACCATCCCTTTTGTGATGTAGTGTCTTGCCAGAACAGAACCAAAGAGTTACATATTCTAAATAAACTTAACTGCTGATATGCAAACACTAGAATTGTGGTGCACACAAGCACCACGGATAGGAAGGTATGTGAGCAAGTGGTTTAGTTATTTGTTCACTGTAACTTCAACCGAACGGCTGAGGGTGCCTTTTAGGAAAAATACAAATCCACAAATTTTTATAATGTGAACTGTGTTCGACAAACATGTAACTGCTGAAAATTTCACAAACTCCGTTGAATGGATTACAAATATCAAGTTTTGCGCCTTATATGTATGCAACGCGCACACCTTAAGTGGCATGTGTGTTGCAGCGAATGGAACTAAAACTGTTTTCAATCGCATTCTCGTTTCCCGTGAACGTTTCGCATTCAAGACAGATATTATAAACATTTCTTAGAATCATAAAGAAACACAACCGGAATAATTTTCATCAAATGATTACTACGTAATACTAAATTTAGACATTTTTTTGTCAGGAGAAAATCTTCAAACACCGTAAACAATACAGGTACCAGTTCAAATAAAGGCTGCTTTTTATTGAAATTAAAATACTTAACACATTCTCAACGTCATAAAATATAACAATCATGTATTGGTAAACAATTTTAAAATTTTAGCAAATTCTGATTTGGGTAGTAAAGAAACAGAAATACGTCATTGTTCAACAACTACAGAAACATAAACAAAATGGATACATTAAAATGTACACTGAGATGAAAAATAAAATCCAGTAGATAGATTTTACATCTCAATTGTTTTGAAGATTCGAGCAACTCCAGAAATCGAAAGATGAGTATCTATTTAAAATAAATTTTCGTGGGTACACGAAAGACATTCTACAAAATCCTACATCATTAATACACCTGATATATTTCATACATTGCGGTACATTGCGGCATGTCAAACTCGCACGCAATCCCACATCTATTTGTCAATGCAGTAGGCTGGGGTTTAGCGATAAGAGTGGAGCAATAACGACAGGCACATCACACCGTACGAGACCACGGCGTTGATTTGTGGACAGACTGTAGCGGTAACACAAGCCTTTACGCCCGTGGATTAAGGGATTCATATATCTATATTCGGCAAGCAACTATGCTGTAGTGGAAATCTTTTAGGAGGGAAATCATTCAACACAAAACAATTTGAAGGAATATTGTAAATGACAGGTAAGTAATCGTAATTGAAATACATTTTTTAAATATGGAGAGTAAATTAATTAGTTTAATTGCAATCAAAGCTTTCATTCGCGCGAATTAACGGATTTTTAATTTATTACGTCAAGTCATATTTTCGCTTTATTATGAAATACTTCAGCTATCAATGTCTCATCCTATTTCTGCGTTTTTACTCGCAAGTTATCTTAACCTACGAAATCATTATATATTTTACAAACATTGCAAATTGAGAATAAAATATAGCAACCAACGTTGTTGGCAACATTTTACAACAAGATTTTTCTTTCTCCTGTAATACAACCTTTCTCTTCGAAAAAGTGCTAGAGAGGCTATTTGATGATTCCACTTCTAAAATTAACACCAATTGAGTTGACCTATATTTGTGAAATGCACCAATCAAAACGGTTGAAACCACAAAAAATATAACTTTTCCCCATCCCCTCCCCGCAATACAATCACAAGATACAATAAATCAAACATAGGAAGTGCAGTTGTACCCACGTGAAGCGAGGAACACCATATAATGAATATTTGGGGGCATTTAGGAGGTCATTTCACTCGTAGAATTATCTCACTAAAGTCCACTCGTTCAATTTACATTTTCAGATAAATTACAATTCAAGCGTGCTATTACCTATGATAGTACTGCCATCGGAATTAGTATTAACCTTCCCACTGCTCACTCACCCCAAAACACGTGAGCCCAAGAAAATATATGCGGATTTACCTCCTCCATCTTCCTCTCCCGTCATCCTGTGCAAACGTCGGGGCGAACCACTGACTGCCGTGCACCCCTTCTCACAACAGATCTACGCAGTGCACCCATCAGTAATGTTGATGCGGGGTAGGTCATCGTTATCGCTACGCCCCAGTCGGCTACTCAGGTAGCTGTCGGTTGACATGGCGCGTGGCCAAACACCGGTTTGGTACTGTGAATATGTGATTAAATACCCTCACTAATCTTTATTTTCTTGGTTTGCTTTGCACCGTGTTTGCGGCTAGAGATGAGACATTTAGAATAGTTATTAGTTTCAAACCTTCACTAGCATATTGAATTAAATTTTCTAATTTATTTAAGGTAGCACTAAGTGGTGTCAAAATGACAATTAATGGCGTCATGAAACAACTGCGAGGTTAGAAGTTTTAGAATCTTTAATTTTCATGGAGAGTAGTTACATGTGTCCTTCTTAGATGAGAAATTTTGCTACGAAAAAAATTATTTCACCAGTGTCATTTGCGCACCCATGAACACCCATGACTTGAAACCACATCGCCTTTTGATCCACAAGTTCATTTAACTGCACGTTAGTGATACCAAAGGGTCACCCCACATCAACAGGAAAGAGGGGTGCAGCGCGGAGGCTGTTGTGAGAAGGGGTTCCCGGCGGTAGCTGAGCTGTTCCAGCACAGGCTCGGGGCACTAGGATGGCAGGACTCGGGGGGCGGAAAGACAAAGCGCATGC